CCTATGTTCGACTGGGAAAGTGAAGGAATTTAAAAAAACGTTAAACTTAATTAGACATCTATAAAACACAAAATAATCGAGCATAGAATATCTTTTTCGATTAATTCATCTTCTGGCTCTACAATTATAAATATGTTTATATACATAGAATATTTTAAATTAGTAGTCAATAACAATGTTAGTGTTTTTTTTAATAATATCGATTTGTGTGTATCTACCAATTTAACTGCTCCTGTGGAGCCAGTTACATCGGTCGTACAATTAGGCGTGTTTTTCGTCGGATTCTCGAACATCAACCTGAAAAGTGGTCAAGCAAAGGACAAACAAAATCTATTCGTATAGCGCTATTCTATCTCATCTTGTGGATACAGAACACAAGATTGACGTTAACCAAGCTTTCAGGGTCATTTACCGCATACCTACGAATCTTAATTTTGCCTTAAGAGTTCGTCTACTAAATATTGCTGAGGCTGTGGGGATCCATATAAACAAGTCTAATTTATGCATCCAAAAGAAGTTAGTTCAGACATTCTCCTTAGCTTGGCCATCTAGGTTTGAAAGATCTTCAATTTTTGTGGAATTTTCCTAATTTTATTTGATATTCTATTTGCTACTATATCTTTATTGTTATTATTATTATTATTATAATTCGAGCATCTTTAATGAACTGTAATTCCATTGTGATCTTACTTTACGTATCGATATTATTTAAAAAAACACTAATATTGTTATTGACTACTAATCTAGAATATTCTATGTATATAGACATATATATACATATAATTGTAGAGCCGGAAGAGGAATTTATCGAAAAGAATATTCTTTGCTTAATTATTTTGTGTTTTATAGACGTCTAAATGAATATTTTTGCTACATTGAAAACTTAATTAGCTTTATATCTGTCCTTGGTTTCAAGATTTTGATCATGAACTGACATCGGTTAGAGGACCGTTGCAAAACCAACAGGGAGAACTGGAAAGCACTTTCGTCCTAATTCGGGACTCTTCCACAGCAATACGCATCCACCGCCAGAGTTCGAACCCAGGAACTTCTGGTTACAAGGTTAGCTCGTAGAACATTAAACGATGATGAAATCCTGTAACCAATCAATCAAATTGCTGCAAAACCAACACTTGACTTCCAACTTGTTTAGAAAATCAAAACAAGATTTCTCTGAATGTTCCTCTGTCTATATCGAAGTTTCTTCGCAGCAGAACTCTTCAAACTTTATTCTGATTTTCCAGACACGCATGGATTGTCGTTTAAATAACTTTATAATGATAAAATTTGAATGACTCACCAGTCAAATAAATGATTCTAGGAAGTCCACAACACCTATTGTCCAGATATTTATAATAATTGTGTCTGTCTAATCGGTATCATACTGTGCCTGTTTGCATTTTTCACAATAACATTCACGGTGTTGAATAAATCACAAATTGTTGGTATTAGATGGTTGGAGGCAATCGGCCACAGGAAGCCTTGCCTAACCAAGGTTTTGTGCTAGTTGGCACTCATCAGCAAGGTGTATCTGCAACACATCTGAGATTCGATCCCGCGTCACCCAGTGCTACCTGAAGTCAGAGGCGTGACCACTGAGCTATTCAGGCTTGCGATTGACCTCCTGTAGGACTGTATTAGATATTTTTGATTGCACACTGATCGGTAACACAGTCGTTATATAATTTTTGAGTTCTAAATGAAGCCTTAATGGAATTCTCAATGATTACGTCACATTTATTTATGTGAGCATAGACTGTAATTTCCTGAAATACAAGTAACTGTCACCCCAAACCCTAATGCTTTGGCACTAGGGATTGCCAGCACCCACCCACACACACACCCAACCCCTGTTAGACATTGATGATGGTTGACACAATTTATTGATTAGTCATTCAGCTGATCGATAACTGAGTGAAATAAGTTGATGAATATTAATGATCGATATTTTCCCCGCAAGAAATGAAGATAGATACAAACAAGATTCAGCGTGAAATTTGCTAAAATGTTTTACTTTTCATTGGTATAACTGAGAGAGAGAGGGAGAGAGATCAAAGACTACACAGCGTGAAATACTCTTCACAAGTTTATGATCTGATCAGGTAAGAGTTTAGCTGGTGAATCAACTCATTCAGCCGTTATGACATCTTATATGAAGACAACCGTGGCAACATTATACAGATGACAGATGTATCATACATATAGTCTGGAATATTGTGATGAAGTTAGGCGAAAATTTTACAATGTTTCCCACTGAAATTATCTGATGTAATTGTATCTCATATCTTATGCCAATCAATATAACCACCTTTTTTCCAAACTAATACATAGGGCTTCAAGCTACAGGCTTGAAGTTTCTATAGCAGTGCTGTTTATTTTTACAGGATAGGGTTGCTAGCCTCATGACCAACCTTTCCTGTTTACCAGTCTTATTTCTGGTTTAGCGAGGTGTAGGAGTGCGTCGACTGGGGATCGAACACCGGACAATGTGCATGGGCAGCGAGTGTCCTAACCGCTGTGCCACCGACACCATCAGTATCCTATTTCCCATGAATATCTATTGTGCTTGGAAGGTAAATATGCATGAGGAACTGTGCAGTATAGTCATTCGTTTCTCTTGTCAATATATTCAGTCATTTTCCCATAGAATCTTAAATGAATTTGATCGATATTTGTCTGGGTGTCCTCCATTGGCATTTCAAACATCCAGTTCATGTATGACCTCAGACAGTGACGACAACAACAACTTTAGACGAGGGTGTTTTCGACTGTCGTGAACCCTTGAGTAACTGGTTTCACCCACGTAGGTACTCATCATCAGGATGTAAATGAAATGTACTCATGAGAGGTGTCACATGATAAATACACACTGTCCAGTCGACTTGTCATTTTCAGTCTTGATAAGAAGTGAAATTTTCACGACACCCCCACCATTTTGTGGATACACTTTGTCACGATGTGGGATTATGAGTACGGGAGACTAATCACAGTGTTAATCACGTGATTTGTGAGTTGTGACCTATCTCATTGAAGATTTTGAGAAACAGAAGTAAACCCTTTATTTTGGAACAAACTCTGAACATGAAACGGACTAATTTAATTGTGAATATCACTCATTCACAGAATATCTGTTCCCCTACATTATGTAATGAATGCACTGACGTCAGAAGTCCCCTCTATTCTCAACTCTCGCCTTGCATCTCATCAAGTAGAACCAGAAATCAGTATAAAATAATCTATGCTCGTACAACCATGTACAGGAACTCAACGATACCATACTTGGCCCGTGTTCTAAGTGACAGAGACAATGTTAAGCGCCAAACCTATGACTCGCTTTGTTGTTAATAACATAATTTTAGACTCTTTTATTTCTCTCTTATTTTGTATTCTATATATTCTATATTCTTAAACATACTTAGCTACGTAAATTATTAACATTGGCTTACTTTTTTGTACTTTACTGTATTCCTTCTATTGTGTATCCACTGGTTCCGACTCCATTGGCACTATGAGTATTACAAAATTGTCCTGTCATTAACCATCATGTAATTATTAGTTTTTGTGGTTGTTTTTTTTTTTTCGTTCGGCAATATTAACTGACAATCTTCTTCGTGAAAGCCATTATCACCATCTTAAAATTTTTGTATTATGCAGGATTACTCACACTACCATTACAAACACCGCATTAGACCTGATAAAAAAACAACCCTGAAATGTTATTTTATGATTGTTTAGTGTTTTTTCAACCTAAATTAACTGATCATCTTGGCGATAAACATTCTTAAATATCATTTCATAACTTCTTGTATGACTACAGCTTTACCGTCACCATGCATAATCATATCATAGCTTCCACTACCCAATACTGAGATATTATTTTATGTTGTTTATTTTCCTCTCTACTTCTTGGTATTTTTTTATTGTTGTCTTTATATCTATTTTTTGAAACACTCCTTTTAAATGTTTGATAAAATTAGATGCAAATATTGTAGATATGTGCTGAAAATTCCACACTGTACCACTAGTACTGTTTCTGGAATAAAGCAAATTATTATTATTTTTACTTATTTAAGTCTTATACGTCGTAATCCCTAGGGGACACAGAACTACCTGATGTTAACGGACAGAAGGACTTTGGAATGATTGTCAGCAATGATTTGAAAACAACTGCAAAAAATTGCAATGCAGCCGTAGCTAAGGCTTTTCGAATGCTATGGGCACTCCGAACAGCTTTCAAACGATTAGATGAGTCTATGTTCAAAGGCCTCTACGCGCAACATATGTCAGGCTTCATCTAGAATACTGCATACAAGCGGCTAGTCCATGCTTCAAGAAGCAGGGACATATCTTAGAAAGAGTACAAAAGGATAGGATCCAAATTAGTTAGTTAGTGGTATCTCACTTCTTCCTTATAACAAAAGGATGGAGCATTTAAATCTCTTCCCGTTATCATAACAAAGGAAGTGAGGTGACTTAGTTTTAGCATACCGTATACTTAAGGGTTATTTAGGAGCTGACCTTTCTAACCTTTTCTCCCCTTCCAGGATACATTTATGGGATCACCTCAAAAAGGTGCTCAAATCGAGGACGATTAAAATACGTGCAGAACTTGGATTCTCTCACAGAGTGGTCAATAACCAGAACTCATTATCTGATTCAGTAGTATCAGCTCCATCGGTGGACGCTTTCAAAGAGAAGTTAGATCTCTGCAGAGATGTATCTTGCAAGGATTAACACAGGCGACAAGAGCCTACTATCCTTACCATCTGGATCTGAATCTGTACTTAGCTTGTCCGTTAAACTACTCCTCTCCCCTCCCTCTCTCTTTTCATAGGGAGGTTATTCCACTGTTCTACTCATTGAGGGTTAAGACAACATGAATCGATAAACGGTGTCACTGCATTCTTCATTCCACCAATATCAAACACACAAATATATAAAGAATGGAGAATTACTCATACGAGAGACAAAGAAGTAACAAAACTGTCCTTCATACTTACCAATATAACTGAAATTAGGTTTCGGATCCTCCTCTCCATTCACTTCTCCGTGTAGAACTCCAGCACATAATGGAATATTTTCCAAATGAGATGATCGTTGATTATGTGGATGACGATGATGTGGAGGATGGTGGTGATTGTGATTATGATTGTGACGAGAATGTTGACTGCTCCTGTGAGGTGGAGTTGATTTCGCCTGCGGAGAACTGATTTCATCCACAGTCACATTACTCCTCTCTCCGTTATACCGATGAATATAATTATGATATTGAAGGAATAACAGTGAATCAGAGTAATGTGCATTCTGATTAAGTTGACTATGATGACCATCAAAACGTCTGTTGTCATTGTTGTCACCATTGTTTTGAAGAGTGACATCTAAGTTTACAGGTGAATGTTTCGAGTGAAATTGACGACTTGTGTAGAGTGAGTGTGGTGGCGTGTAACTCAGAGTATCCAATGGTGATTTGATGAAAGCAGAAGATGTGGATTGTGAGGAATTCATCATATGTACAGTCTGATTTGATGCATAACAATTTGATGATGTGGGACTGTTAGGAACATTATTATTACTATTATTATTATTATTATTGTTGTTGCAATAGAATTCCATGAACGGTGAAATAGGAAAGGTGTTTGTCGACAGTGTATTGTATGACATAATCACAGTGCAGTATAGTATGGACTAAAATCGGTGTGAATACTGTGAAAGTACCGGAGATGAAGTTCAGTGGTGATTTTGTGTCTGTACAAATCCTTCTGATGTGTTTGTGTATATTTGAGAATTAATCAAACTCTCTGTTGTCAATATGAATGCTAATCTTGAGATTAGATAACATTAAAGTATTGATTCTTTTTGATTGTCCTCTCGTTATGGTAGTGATTGATAGTCAGTTTGCAATGACTTATGATGATGGTGACAGTGATGGAGATGACAATATTAGAAAAGTAGAGGGAGGGGGTGAGGAGTATAGAAATTGAAAAATATTATTTTGTAAACAACAAATCAACAAGTAGAATGGGTGGGTGAGAGGGAGTGACTTAGACAGACTGAATTCTGATTGGTTCTAAATTGGCCAATGAGAATCAAGTTCGGACAAACGCATCGCATGTTGATTGGTTAATTGAATTAAACCAAAAACAATGCTCTGTGGAATAGACAAAAGCCAGGTGTAAACTTGCTCAGTTTTAGTTTTTGTTTATAATTTCTTTTTGTGGTTATAGCTTGATTCCATACCGTATCTTTTGGTACAGGTATGGAATTTTCAGCATGTGATATCGGTAGCTCAAATTTTGCAGGCCGATCATAGATATCGGGTGTGCGTCGGCAGGGGATCGAACCCCGGACCATGTGCATGGTCGGTGAGAGTCCTAACCACTGTGCCACCGGCGCACAGTTTCCTTGGGTTCGTAATGGGACATAAGGCGTCAACCATACATGTCCGTTTCATCCACCTTAGTTGTCTGGCTCCATGATTGCTCATGTACTGTCAACTCCCTTTCGTCACAAGATCTCCTCCATGTCAGCCTCGGATACACGTTGAACTCCTCACTGGTGTGTAATATCATCCAACAGTCTCCTCGGCATATCTCCAATTTATTTCCATCTCTTTCTGTATATTTTTTAGATAGTGGTCTCTTGGTTGGCTCTTTACCTGTCAGAGATTTTTGTCGGCTATCCTTTCTGACCAGCTGACCTTTCATCTAATCTTCAATATCAAGGCTGTGAAGATGGCAGCTTTTGTTGAAACCCATTGGAAAGGCTTTTGGTAACACCAATGCACTTCAAGTCTCTGAAGCAAATAGAATCACCATATGTGACTTGACACTAGTGTAGAAAATGTGAATCTTGTTCATTATGCTGAGGAAGGGAGTAGATTGCCTTCGTGATTCCTGAATAACGAAGGTCTAACTTGCATTTCCGATCCCCGCTGGCTTTTAAATCCTATTTTGTTTTAAACAGCCAGTATTGTAGACAGTCCCAACGCACACACACACACTGAACACCCTGAATATTTGGCTGTCAAGGGGTGGTGATTCAGTGACAATTATTGAGGAAGAAGTTTGTATTGATGACTTTCCAGTAATGTTGACGCTTTTGTTGTCTGATAGAAAGTTTTTTTCGAATACTCTGATTGAGTTATATTATGTCCTGATACAACCAATGATTGAGTTGTATACAGGATTTCATCATGAGCTGACATTGGTTACAGGACCATTAGAAAACCTGGGAGTACTGGACAGTTGTTTCGTCCTAGTTTGAGACTCTTCATCAGTACGCATCCACGGCCAGCTCTCGAACCAAGGACCTTCTGGTTACAAGGTGAGCAATCATTGGGACCCGATCCAATGTTCAGCCAACCCATGAATTCTTACTTCTGCCAATTCACAACATAGCGCTACCGCTAGCCAATGTCTTCGGCGAGTATTTGTGCTCACACCCGACCTACTGTGTGTCTAGTGTAATCAGTGTATGATACATTCAGAAGATCAGTCACTTTGTAAATAGTCTCGAGTAATTATCTGTTATCGATTTACCCTTTTTCTTTTCTTTTCTTTTTCTGATTACTTCTAGATGCATTTTACAGTTTGAGTCAAATGTCACACTAATAGCACACATAAACAACTGCAAATCTTTGCTCAATACTACTCAAGATCAGATGGCCGGCCAGAAAAGATCAGAAACAGGGAGGGATCTCTGGCAATGAACGAACCAACCCAGCAGCAAATATACCGGAAGAAATTCAGGTGGATTGGAGGCCATACTCTGAGAAAACAAACCATCATCAAGTGACATCCATCACATGTCAGGCCATCGCTCGAATGGAACCCGAATGGGAAGCGGAGAGTTAGTTGGTCATCAGTGCGACGGTGACATGGAGGAAGAGGTGGTCATGAGAGGAGAGGAGATGAAAGCATGTGGACAGATGTGGATCCAGGTGATGAAAACGTTGGCAGGGAAACGAACGCAGTTGAGACGTACGGCTGAAGCCCTATGTTTCTCTGGGAACTAAAGGAAACAATAATAATATTCAAGAGTTGGTTTGTAAGGATCAAATTTGTTTTTACGAGTTTGGCCACGGATTGATATCATTTAGAGAACCATTGAAAACCAGCGTCGGAGTATTGGACAGCTGTTTCATCCTAATTTGGGAATCATTGCCAGTACGCACCCACCACCGGGGTTCGAACCCAGGGCCCTCAGTCTACATGGCAAGCTCGTAGACCATTGAGACTTTGGGACCCGACTCACTAGCCAGCCCATGAATTCCAACTTCTACCAATTCGCGATTTAGCACGACTGGCACCAACCGATGTCATCGGTGGGAAATCCATCCTCACACTTGACTGGATGGACCTCACTGGTCATGACGTTTCACTCACGAGAACTGCAGGAAACTCCGTCTTGTAGCAAGTCACTAGCGAGCATCAGATTAATTTTCTGTAGTTGGTTTGTAAGGATTAGTTTTGTTTTTACGAGTTTGACTACGGATTGGTAGCAGTTAGAGAACCAGTACTCCCTGGTGGGTTTTCAATGGTTCTCTAACTGATATCAATCCGTGGTCAAACTCGTAAAATATAATAATAAGTCACGAAACCCTCTAAGCTCTCTGTTAGGGTTAGGCTTGAACCAGAAATATTCCCTCAGATCAGCCGTAACCCTGAGAATATTTCACCAGTGATGGCAGACGACAGATTATTGGACACCTATAGAGTCTAATATCTAAGCGATTAAACGAGCAACTGTTGCATCTCTGGTTGTTATTTTTTTTAAATTTTATTGATTAGCACAAATTCCTTGAAATGAAACTGTACAACAATTGATCTTTCTTTATCGTCATCATCATCAAAAGAATGTTTGAAAAGGTTTCAACTGAGAACCCCAGTGGGTGCGTACTGATGAAGAGTTCCAAACTAGGACGAATGAAACAGCTGTCCAGTACTCCTCCAGTGGTGGTTTTCCAATGGTTCTCTAACCAATGTCAGCTCATGATGAAATCCTCTAACCAATCAAACAAATCCCTACAAACCAATACTTGAATATCGATGAGATGCTCACTGGCGACTTGCCCTATTCAGGTAGGTAGTTACCTGGGGTTCTAGTGAGAAGTCGTGACTAGTGGAGTGCAACAGGTCGGAAGTGAGGACAAATACTCGCTAGGGGTCGCGCTATGTCATGAATTGGCAGAAGTTAGAATTCATGGGCTGACTGGCCATTGGATTGGGTCCCAGTGGCTTAATGGTCTACGAGCTGGCTCGCCTTGTGACCAGAAGGTCCTGGGTTTGAACTCCTGTGGTGGGTGCGTACTCTTGAAGAGTTTCAAACTAGGACGAAACAGCTGTCTGGCAGTACTCCAGTGGTGGTTTTCCAATGTTTCTCTAACTGATGTCAGCTCATGGTGAAATCCTCCAACCAATCAATCAAATCCCTACAAACCAACACTTGAATTCTATTTCTCATTTCACTTAGTAACACCCTCACTCTATAGATAACCACTTCTGTGTAGGTGACATGCAATTATTTTTGTTATTGATATGAGAAGGAAAGAAAGAAGATTTTCAAACTATAGGTCAATAATCAAATTGATGGGTACTTTCAAAACTGAGATGAGTCAACTCACTGATTACGCCATTAGTACGTAACTGAATTCATCCATGCCTCCTCCTTCTTGTCCAATGTCTCCATGTCATTATGAGTACTCTACCACACGAATCAAATAGAAAATAGATAACAGGATAATAATAATAATAATAATAGTGGTTATAGAAGTGAAATTATGGTCATCATAAGTGAATCCCAAATGTAATCTATCATTAATTTCTTCCACAGTGGCTGTATTTCTCCTCTTCTCTCACAGTCTGCCTCCCTCCCTTTGCTACATAGCAACAGAAAAAATATATATTATATATTGATTGTATATTATTCTATATAGAACTATGAGATATTCTGTTACTGAGGTTATGGAAATGATAAGACATTGTAAAAGTGTGAAGGAGTCAGTTAGCCAACAGAAATTATCATTGAGTGATGAGCATGACAATTATTGTGTAGACGGAGGGGGGGGGGGTGGAGTGGATGGGATGTACTTTCATAGTGAATATCCTGATAGAAGTGATGTGTACGTGTGTGTGTGTGTGTGGCTAGAATGATTGTCAGATGGAGAGTTTTTTTTTATTTGAATAGATAGAGGGGGTTAGAAAGTGTAGTCTCACATCAGTTGGTGTGATTCCTATGACAGTGTCATTCGGTGTTTGCATTCAGTAATAATTATCTGCATTACAAGATTATAGGTTAGACGTGTTCTGTGTACTGTTCCCGTTCTTCTTATTATTGTTCCCTTGGGTTCTGAGTGGAACATAAGGCTGGCTTCAACAATATATCTCAAATTTGCTCTATTTTCTGCTGTCCTCTTCAGCTGGGTCCACGACTGACCAAACTCTCTCATCTCCTCCTCCAACTCACACGATCTCCTCCATGTCACCCTCACACTGATGACCCACTGGTCGCTTCCCATTTGGATTCCTCTTGAGTCATGGCCTGCATTGCGCGCGATGTCATTAGACAGTTTCCTCAATGTATGCCCGATCCATCCATCTCCATTTTCTCCTACATATTTGTTGAGCGATCGCCTCTTGGTTGGTTTCTTCCCAGACAGTCAG